TGAGCCCAAGCATTGAAGCAGGATCTGTCCCGCAAGCTGCGTGGCATCGCTTCCTCCGTGAACGGGGCTCTGGTGTCACTGGAGTCACAGGCAGAAACTCGAGGCAAGTTGGAGAGCACCTGTCGCGAGCGAGAAAGCTGCGAGACGCCGCAAGCCGCAAGCCAGGTCAGTCCCCGCAGCGAGCACGCAGCCCGGTGGTTCTTCCATTGAACCCTGCTGGCACGATGGAGAAACAGATGAGGCCGAAGTCAAAATCTCCCACTCGGCTGTCAGAAAAAGCGTTCTCCCCAAGCCCCCAGCACTGGCAGGCAGAGGACGGAGAAAGACCAGGTCCCTTTGTCAAGCTACCGAACGGTTCGAACGTAGCCTAGATTTGCTCTCGCGGCTCAACGCGCAGGCGCGATCGCCTCCAGTGGGCATTCCAATGACAGGTCCTCTTGAGATGCGTGAGGACGGTTTTGCAATTCAGACATTCGATCGCAAAGTGTTTGTAACAGAAGATGTCTCCATCTTCGCAATCAGCATGTGCAGTGAAGCGCCACTTATTTCCGTGTTTCTGGTGCCTTCTGTCGAACCCAAATTGGCAAGTCATGTGCCGAGATATCGGAGAGGCGAGCACAGTAACGGAAGAGGAGAACGGCACCATGGTGCCTACATGCGGCTCCGCAGAACCTGCGTTCTTTGCAGATCGGCATGTGCGAACACATGGAGGAAACACGCATATTCCATTGTGGACTGCATATTGTGGACTGGATACATATAAGGCGCAATGGGTGAAAGCGGAATCCATCGAGAGGGCTTTAAACCCCGAAAATCACACTGTCCAATGTTATTCCGAAAGGCGCTGGACGACGTCGGTGATGATTGCAAACCGAAAGTATCCACAGCGACAGTATCGAGAGGTCCTTCGAACACCGATGGTGGAAACCGAATCCATCGAGGTCAGTCGGACGCCGGAGCGATTCGACACATTCTCCAACTGGAGGCACTCCAAAGCTCGAGCTGTCATCGATCTCTTGATACTGTTGTATTGCAACCACCACGAAGCACAGAGAGCACCTGCAAAAAGCTGGTCTGTTGTGACTGCTTCAAACGGTTAAAGAGTAAGTTTCTACCTGTCGATACTTTAGACTTGTGCTCACCACGAAATTTCGTCAAGTCCTTGGCAAAGATCCATTCGGGATCCTTGAGGGATTCGGATTCTTTCGATACGTGATCATGAACCTCGAAGCATATCTGTGTTTTTTGATGCCGGCCTATTTGTGTAGCTGGTAGCATTGCCAAGGAATTGCGTCGCGTCCCTTCGTAGGCTCCTTGGTTGCTGAGGTTGCAGTTGATTGGGGCTGTTATCCATCCTAGAAATCGAGTGAAAGTTTCATTTCCAGCCGCTCGAACAACCTGACAGACAAAAATCGGATATGTGATGACTGGAGCCTCAACATGAGTATTGTTGTAAAACGCATAGTATGGAAGCCTCATCCCACGTACAGACACGCGGTGCCATGATCCATGGCTCCTTGGAAGGTGCGATCTGATCTTGATGATGTGTAGTTTTGATATTGTCATCGCATGTGGTATTGAGGTTTGTACCGGTGCAACTTTTCAACATCTTTCGATTTTCTCACGCATACATGACGGAGCGTGTCTGCCAAGGAGCGACTGTGTATCGTTTCCATGGCACCATGCGCAACTGAAGGAGTCGTTGCAATAACTTCCAGAGAGACGTCACGACTTTCAATCTCCCAGCTAATTGAAATGAATACAAGGCTTCGTTGGTACCATAGCAACAGCAGTTTGTTATCTTCTGTGCCAAAGAGCACATGTAAAACTACTTACTGATGTAAACCCGTCGATTTGCGAGCTGTTCAACTTTGCCAATGAAGTTAAACCATGCAACAGCTGGTACAAACGTGACAGGCAAAAAACAAAAGAACCTCTTTCGTTCTTTGTAACGACACGTGGTCAGGAAGAGATATTGGGGGTAGGGTCCCGGGTGCGGCGAGGCAAGGCAGGCACAGGCAAGAAGGGAGCAAGGAGGCTGGCCTCACTAAACGAAAACGGTAGATCCATCAGGGGCCGGGCCTGGCATGCATACCTATAAAACTGTGTAGCAGCATATACAATTCATCAACAGTTTGGCAACCTAACGAACGAACCCATCTAAGTCTGAGAGCCAAGTCCCAAGCTAAGCCACGCCAAGGCAAGGAAAGCTTAGCTGAACTTAGCTAATTTCAACTTAGCTTTGTACGACTAGTTGAACTGAACTGATCGAACAAGCGAGCGAGCGAACCAACGAAGTTACCAAGCTAACTACTTAGTCGGCTAATTAACTACTAGCTGACTAGCTCACTAACTCACTAATTAACAAACTAACTAACTAACTCACTGTCTGTCTGACTGACTGGCTGACTAACTAACTATGCAAATCACCCACAGATCGACAACTAAACAAATAATCAGAAAATAGATGTTTACCTGTATGAACAAACAATGACGAATACATACATAGATAGGTTGATACTAGACAGATAGATATATAGGTGGTTTAAATACCCAAAGGAAAAGATGTATGTTTATAGTATACACAGAAAGCCTTCCTCATGTGTATATATATATATAGTATGACTATATATATACACAATATTATACATGAGCACTAGTGGTCGTAAAAGTTGCACATAGACATGTAAGAAACAAAGAACAGCGGTACGATTGCGATTGGAGCTTTTGCAAGCCCCGAGCCCGATTTAAGCAGTTGCACGACTGCCGCGTGGCCTGAATCGATCATCGGGCAGCATGGAGAAAGCATCAGCGCCGCCATGCCGCTGAAGGAAGGTGAAGACATAGGACATGCAGAGAACCCATCGCAGAACCAGCTCTTCCATGTCCGACCATATCCTGTCAGATGGTTGATATGTCCGTCCTGAGATTCCTCTCCCCTGGTAAACGGAATATGCAGCGAACTGCAAGGACGGCGGAAGGCGCCCTGGAGTGCCAAACAGAGGCCAGAACACCAAGCAGCTCTGAGCAAAGTCTTTCTGCACGTCGGCTTGGAGGCGGAAGCACCGTCATGCCAGTAGCGTGCGCAGCTGAGGGCACCTGACAGCTCGTTGAGTTTGCCACATGCCCGCCGATACAACGGTGCCTCGAAGCTACTGTGAGGAGCACATCACCAAGTGCTGCATGCGGTGCCATGGGCTTAGCTGTGGAGTCCAGGTAATATGTCTAGTCACATGCTTGCACGCACACATTCCAGAAAACGGAGAAAGGGATCCCTGTACCATACCGCACATAGCATCGAAACTGAGGCGTATTCGCCTCAGCGAGATGAGGCGACGAACCCAGGCCTTGTGGTGGCTTGTCTCGTCATGGCTCAGCCCTCGGCCGTCGATCTCTGTCAGGGAGCGCGCTGGATGCCAGTGCTCACAGTGCCAACCGACTGACGCCGCAAGCTGAGCAAGATTCTCGTAAGGCGAGCTCTGTGAGAGCCTAGGGATCTCAGGTCAACTCAGACGACACCTCTGCGGAAGAACTCGTCACGCTTGCACATCGGGATGAACGGCACGCATCCTGCCGGAATGGCTTCGAACCGGACCGCGCAATTGGCCAAGTGAGTCTGTTGTTTAATTAATCACCGTGCACCTGGCATTTCACATGCGAGGACTTCCATTGCAGCAGAACCTGACCTCCGCAATTCCATCAATGATCTCCAGCGGGCTCGCCCTTGACCTCAGCTTTCGCTATGATCAGAGCGCACGATACATCCCACACGAGCTTGGCTCGACAGGAACCCTGGTGCCGCTTCACTCTCAGCATTCGTTTTTTTTTGACGTGAGTGAGCATTAGTGCACCATCGGGGCAGGCATTGCTGCCTTTCCTCAGGACCCCGATGGCAGCCCACACACAAGTTCGACCACAAGGGCAGCCACAAGCCCATGCGCATGTGCACCCGCACATGCAGCAGCAAATGCAACAGGCGGCGTGATCGTGGCACCGTGGTGAGTGTCCTGTTCTCGATCTTAGTCCCTGGCAGGTGCGCAAGATCCCAGGCATGGGACTGCGCTCTGGGTATCATTCTCCGAACGTTCAGGCGAGAGAGCTCGTACTGTAGCTCTGTAGCTCACGCGGTTTGCCTGGTGTACTTTATGCCTTATGCCATGCCTGAGACTGCAGGCACGAAGCCCAATGCCGGCTCCATGCCACCACATCCAGATCTGAGCCATGACTGGGTTCGTTCCGATGTGAGAGTTGCGGTCGGTCATCCTTTCTTGATCTTTCGTGCGTAGGTGTCATGTGCAATGGTGACAGACACAATGCTCATGACGGCCGTTCAGGCATGTTGCTGCTTTAATGCAGCAGAGACAGGATGAACCGCCAACCGCCTTTGCAGCATGATTCGCTTTGTGCGAAACACACACTGCTGCGTGTTTCAATTTCTTACCTCAGCCCTCCTTATGCTGAGATGCATGGCCCGATCGACCTGTCCTCACGTGCCCGCTGTGAGAACACCACTCCCCTTTTTGGTGCACGGTTCAGATCACAAGGTCGGAAGGGAAGATCCGAGTGCTTAAATCTGCGCTCATAGAGGCGATTGCTGGAGCTGAATAGCATCTGATGGCTTTAATGCGCATCCGCGCCAAATCTCGCGACGAAACAAGCGGAGGTGGAACTATAGGGATCATCATGAAATCTTTGACTCGAAAGCTGCATCTATGGAGAGGAGGGGACGGGAGGGGTCTTAACATTTGCGACAGGCAGGCCTGAACTCGGGCTCTGACGCTTGGCAAGGCCAGGGGTCTGCCGGGTCCATTTCCGGTTTACCTCTGTTTCAATCTTCGCAAGAAGCATGTGTAGGTCCAATGAATATTCAGGAAGAGCCCTTAGTCCTGTTTGAGTATCAGGTGCCTGAACGGCCTGGCATGCCAGATCTTGAGTACATGTGGGTCCGTGGGGAGGCAGGCTCAAGCGAAGCTGAGGCTGCATAAAGCTGGCCGCACATCATGCCGAAGCAAACCCTGAGATATGCCATGGTCGGTGCTGGCCAGGGTTCATGGATCGGCGAGGCACATCGAAAGGCTTTGGCTTTGGACAATACGGCCAGGCTCGTCGCCGGCTGCTTCTCTTCCAGCCGAGAGCGGTCGCAGTCATTTGGCGAAGCTTTGGCTTTGCCAGACTTGCGTGTCTACGGCTCGCCCTCGGAGCTCGCGGAGAAAGAGGCGGCTCTTCCGGTAGAGGAGAGGCCGCACTTTGTCGTCATCTGTACACCCAACCGCCATCACTTGGAGCAGATTGAACTGCTGGCCGCAAAGGGTTTCCCGATTGTCTGCGACAAGCCGCTCTGCGAAACTCTGGCCGAAGGAAAGCAGGCCCTGGCAGCGCTGGGCGGCGGCCTCTTGGCGTTGACTCACTGCTACGCAGGATACCCCATGATTAAAGAGGCCCGGTCTCTGGTCAGGAAAGGTCGCTTGGGCACGCTTCGAAAGGTTGTTGTGGAGTATCCACAGGGCTGGCTCGTGCCAGAAGAGGGTAAAGATGACAAGCCGGCGATGAGTGCCTCCAGCGGCGTCTCTAGCATGGTCGATGTGGGCACGCATGCAGAGCATCTGGCTCGATATGTCACTGGCCTCGAGGCCAAGGAGGTTTTTGCGGACGTATCTAGCTTTGTCACTGGAGGCCCCCGCGCGCCAGATGACTTCAACGTGCTGATCCGCTATGAGGGAGGTCAGCGGGGAGTGCTGATTGCCTCCCAGTCGTCATCGGGGGAGCAGAACTGCTTGCGCCTAAGGGTGTATGGCTCGGCGGGATCTCTCGATTGGATGCAGGAGGATCCTAACATCCTTACGATGCGCTTGCGTGACCAGCCAGTACAGACACTCCACCGTGGACAACCCTACCTCAGTCCCGAGGCACGTTCCTGTTCCCGCCTTCCACCAGGCCACCCGGAGGGTTATCTGGAAGCCTTTGCCAACATCTACCGCAGCTTCGCTGCTGCAGTGCAGGCACGGGACACTGGTGCGGAGGTTCCAGAAGTCGACTTCCCCACGGCAGCCGATGGCATTGCCAGTTTGGCCTTTGTAGAGGCAGTTTCCAAGAGTTCTGAGGCAGGTACTTGGGTCCGCGTCTAGTCAGTCTAGTCGTGATTCTCACCTAACGTCCTGAGCTCGATTTACAAGAGCCCGGACCCTTCAATTCGGAGTCCGGAGCTCGGTGGGTGCTGCCGGCCACTTGGGCCGGTGCGCCCCCTTTCATTTTGGACAGAAACGAGGTTCAAAGATGCTTCGAAAAGAGCAGTGCGTCATCCGGTATGCAGTATTCAGAGTCTTTGACTCCTGCTAGCTTTGCTCACCCGGAAGACGTAGTATCGGGCTTTGCTCGCCTCAGAGCTTGCGCAATAGTTCGAGACCTGACAGCTTGGCTTCGTGCGAATCAGGCACGACCCGTTCACCAACGTTGGTATTTGCATCGAGGCTTGCGTATCTTATCAAGTGGACGTACAGGCTGAGGAGCACGAGGCTTTGAAACCTTCCGTGCTGTAAATACTGCCGGTCACTGCAGGTGTTCTTTTCTACCACAGCAAACTTGGGGTAGTTTTGGATTTGGCACATGGATCAGCGGCATGATCTGATCTGGAAGTGCAGCTGCTCCATGTGTCAAAGTCAAAACAATCGCTTTGACACCCAAGTAGGGGCTGGTCACAAAGGACACCGGCAGTACGTACCCGTCTCTGCACAACGGCCTTTTTCGGCGGATCCACGAGACACATCGCACAGTTGCTGAGGGAGACGGTCTTTGGAGGCCAGAGACACATCAGTGCCACAGAACTGTCATTTGCTGTCGAAGGTCTAGTTTGCAAGGGAACGCCAGCAAATGCGTGAAGCACGGGAAGAGGACGATGGCCTGCCGCTCATATCATGAGCCATTGTGCTGGAGAAGGCGAGAGCGGTGCCCAAGGCCATAGTACGTGCCATAGCAGCCAAACAACTGTGCAGGCGCAGGTGATTTGGAGACTGGAAAGCGTCTGCAGTCACAAGCCTTGGGAGCATGTGATCTGGACCAGAAGACGTGGGTCTGTCCAAGTTGGGCCGCTCCGATATCGGCAACATCATCATGAGAAATACGGATCCAAAGTGATCGCTTAAGCAGTGGATCACGCAAAGAGTTCGTTCGAAAACGCGTGGATGGGGTGTGTTCGTACAGAAAATCATTTTGATTCACTAGCAGGGTCTTGCTGGACATGCCGACATCTTTCGAAGCAGTGGTGCGTGGACTCGAGGAACAACGCTTCATCCGACGACGGGTTCGCATATGCTTGGACCAACGCAGGATATGCAAGCTCAGGTTGCTTTCATGAAAGCACGAGGAAAGCGTTCAATCGCCTGGTTGCGACGAGTTTCATAGACATGATGGGGAAACGAAGCTTGCGACGTCAGCATCACTGGCACCATGCATGCATTGTCAGTAATATGTTGCACGACGACACACCAACAGCGTCACCAGTAGCTCGTCCACCATCGTGATGGAGCCCGTCGGTGGTTTGTACCGAAAGGTAGTCATCGGCTCCTGGCTCAGATGGAGCTCGCACACTGCCCGGCTGTAGAGCTGAGTGTTTACTGAGGCAAGGAGCAGAGCCACCGAACCAGCTTCATGACCGGGCACTTGCTGTGGCAGGACTGCCTTTTCAAAGCCAAAACCACGGTTGAGCTTCCAGTCCAAGCTGATTGCGCTGAAAGCGAACATGAGCGTCCTGGGCCCGGCCACGTTTCGCTTGCCTTTAGTCAGGATCGACTGCGCGTTGAGCAGCAGCAGCGGGACAAGCAGCTTAGCAGCTGGCACAAGAAGCCAGACTCTTTGGGGCCTTAGAGCTTGCAGCGAGTCGCTTCTCCAAATCTCCCCGCTAAAGGCTGGGGCTCCATCCCCCAGGGCAGGCGAGCCCAGAAGAAGGCGCAGTGAGAACGGAGGTCTGGTCTTGTGCTCCACACTGCAACTCATGGCAGGCGGTCAGCTTTTCGAGACCAGGACAGGGTCGAAGCCCTTGGCGAAGTTTTTTTTGTTCTTCGGGGACCACCTGTCGGCTTCATACCGAAAGCTGCTGCGATGGCACGGAGAATTAAAGCAAGAGACAAGGTCCTGGGAGCCAAGAGCCAGGGGTGTTTCAGCTCAGACAACCACCACGAAGCAACAGTGGCAGGATGGCGAGAGATCGGCTTCTTTGGCAGGACTCGCAAGGTGTCGACGCGCGTTTAAGGATTGCACCTGTCGCCTTGCACGCACCCAACCTTCTTGCAGCATCAGCGTGTGGCCACATTCCATCTTCTGAGCTTCGTCGCCGGCATTGATGAGCACGCAGGCCCTGGCAGTCGGAATCCGGACCTCGAGCTCCCAAGCTGCAGCCAAGTGTTTTGGAAGGTATGGGGGATTTTCGCGTGGGATTTGGGTGTTTTGAGTTGTGCTATGGACTATTGAGTTAGTTCTGGCGCGTGTTTTGCACATTGCAGGTTTCAAAGGGTTATTTCAGGGGGAATTGGGGTGAAAGAATAGGGGGGTGGATTGAGTGTAAGGTCTGGGGTCAGCACCTGCTTGCTTCACCATGCCTTCGTCACTATGCATCGCACATAGTTAGCCCTCCGGCCGCCCAGGACTTTGGCGGGTCGTCGTGAAGCTGAGCGACAAGGCCATTAGCGCATCACGCAGTCGTGCACTCTGCATCCAGTCTGAGTTAGCGACCTCAAAGAAGCGCTTTACCCGTGACTGCCGACACTGCGCTCCAAAGTTCGGCTGGCCGCTCTCAGGCTGCGAAGGTCACGTCCACACCAACTGTCTACCTGAGTAGGGCTTCCATCCTAATCCTGGTACGATCAAGCAACATGCGTCCACTGACAGCCATGGCACGGCGGCGGCGGTCGCGATGAGCCCGTGCCATTTGCATGAGCGGAGTAGATCGAACGGGGCCCTGCTCAGGGAACTGTGATCCTGGTTCAGAAACGGGTCTATCCATGATTCGTTCAACCGGTATGCACAAGAGGTACAGGACGATCGTCGGCATTGTGCTACTTGCCATCCTTTTGCAAGGCAAGGTCTTGGCACTCGCCGGTTTTCGAAGTGGACAATGGTTGAGATGTCCGACAGATCTGCTGCAGGTGTGCCTATAGTGCTGCTCTCTCGGCTTGCTGGCCCGGTACCGACATCTTGTGAGGCATCTGAACCAGTGTATGGGCGTGTGGGGGCGGAGTGAGTGCAGTCTGACGCTTCAGTTGACGTCCACCTGAACTACCTGATGTCTGGCAGGCCCTTTCATGAGAGGGCCTTGTCGTCGGTGCTTCTGTTGCTTGTAAAGGCCATCGTGGTCCTCGGATATGCCATTGACTGGAGCACTGGGCGTGTCCCCGAGGCGCCACCCGTTGTCTGCGAGTGCACATGCCATCGCAACAATCTGAGCTCAATCACACGAGCATGTGTTCAGCAAAACGACATACTAGCGGTTACTAGCCAACACCCGAAACAGAGAACCCACACAGCCAGGGTGGCCTGCTCTCGCAGCGCTTGGCGCTGGCACTCACCGCCCTTGACGAAGCTCGCATGCCGCATGCCGTTGGACAGGATCAACAGTCAGACACGTGTTTGTGGACACCTGCACATGTACGTGACATACTGCTGCGGCTGCTGCCACTGCTAGTGTTACTGCTAGGACGACGACGAAGAAGAAGACGAAGACGACGACGACGCCAGTATTTAGCCTGCTACTACTACTACTACTACTACTACTACTACTACTACTACTACTACTACTACTACTACCACCGCTGCTGCTGCTGCTGCTACGACGACGACTACTGCACTACTTCTACTTCTACTACTTCTTCTTCTTCTACTACTACTACTACCATTACTATACGACGACGAACGATCTCATACACCTGAAGGCAGAACAAAGTTCATAGCCAACTGCACGCTTCAGAATCAGTTTGCAGGGGCCGAAGCATATGTTATCTCAAATGCAATCAATCGCATTTAACTAGCACCTATCATGGTAAAGCCACCCGAATCACTGACAATCCTATGCTGGTTTGTCTTCGCGTTTTGGATACGCTGCGTAACGCACGTACTAGTAGATGTAAGTAGGGGTGTCATAAAAAGGAAATACCCTGTCATGCTCATGTCTTCGCATCATTGAAGTAGAAGCCCTATGCTTCGTCAAGCGAGACGAGATGGGGTATATAAGTTGCTTGTTTTATCCGGTGTTCCACTGAGAACAGTAGGCAGTCTGCACTCTGATTAGATTACATCTTTGCCACCCGCTCTCTCACTCTCTCACTTTCTCTCTCCCACTTTCTTTCTTTCTTTCTTTATCTCTCTCTCTCTCTCTCTCCCTCCCTCCCTCTCTCTTGTGCACGTGCTCAGTCTCAGGAAGGTGATTCTGCAGCCTTGTCTCAGCACCCGGCTAACTAAGGTTGGTCTTATCTGGGGGGATTGGCGAGGATGTTGTTTCCAAGGCCAGTTCAGCATGTTGTTCTTGTTCAGTTCTTCCAAGTTCAGAGGTGGATAATGTGCCGAAGGGACCCGGTGGTTCAGCCTTGCGAAGATTTGAAGCAGAGGAAGCCCAACGCTACATGTTCACCTCAACTGATCTGCTGAGCTAGAGTTCGCAATTTGTTTGCAGGAACCCGGGCAATGCTTGCTCTGCTTGTCGGCATTAAGGTGAAGCCATGAAGCGTAGGACCTTGAGCCAGAGGTATCCGAGGCTGCGGCCATGAAACGCTGGCTCGAAGACCGCAGTGCACTCACGACTGAGGCCACATGACCCATGCCACATGATCGTGCTTTTCCGCTGTGGTAGCAGGTCTCAGCGAATCTGCTCATCAGTAATTATACATGATGCTGATCGTTTTTGGTGCAAACACGCAAATGTTCGTCTGCGGTGGGCTCAGGGTATCCGAGCAATATCCCGAAACCCAAGCCCAAGACCTGCAGAGCAGAGATGTCCCTGAAGCCATCTCTAATTCGGACGTGTGTTTCGTTTCCGACAGGTTTCTCATGCAAAATACACGGTCGTGGTCGGCATTCTCCATGGGATATGAAAGGGCCGGCGGTCAAATGCTTCCATACTCGCCTGATGTGTACCTGTCGCGCGGCAACCTCTTGTCGTTCTGTTCGATGTCGAGACTCGGACGATGCACCATAGCCGTGATCCAGAAACCAAGCGATCCTCGGAGTTCAGGGCATATCACACCACAAATCTTGTGTCGGAGAGGGAGAGCAAAGTCTGTGCCGACACAGGGATCGCGCTTGGATCGGCCAGCACCCGCCCCCGTGACATTACAGTGACAGTACCGCACTGGTTCCTGTGCCAAGCCACACGGCCATCAACTTGATTTCTACAGTACTGAATACGCCAGCCGACTCCCGGGCATCCCGTAGCAAAGCGTGTTGAAATGCTCCCTATGGAGAGGGCCGGCTGTTTCTGATTCCTCTGGACTGGTTGGTTGTGCAAAGCTCGGTGAACACCCAAATCATGGCATCGATTCGTCGTCGTTTTCGAGCCTGTCCGGAGATTCCGACCTGCACGGCAGCTGTTTCCAGCAGAACGTGGCCGGAAGGGTCCGTTGGTTACGTTGGTTGTCCGATGTTCTCGGCAAGCAAAGTGCCAATCTGGTAGAGAGCTCGCTTGGGTCACGTCCAGCTGCAGGGTTCTTGTGATTCTTGTCCAGTTTAACATAGTGATACTGCTGCTGTTCTGAATGAGATTGCTTGCATTTCGCGTTTGGCCAGCCTTCCAACGCTTCCGGTTGCAAAAGGCTGTTCTGTTGATGAGAAGTACAGGTGCGTTCCAGAGCATGTATGCCCGGCGGTGGTTGTTCCACCACTAGTCATGCATGACAGCGGGACGAAGCCCGACGATTTTGCTGTTACACTTGCTGTCGTTATGCATCAATGTCGCACCCCTTCATTATAGCCATCGGGCCGGCATTGATGTTTCGTGACTGTCATGACTCTCCTCAGTGATGAGGTTGTTAGCTTTGGTATCTACATCCCGGGGCCGAAAGTTTCGAGATACACGCGCATTTTCTAACATGCAGGCTCTTGCGGAGATTTGCGGAGTAGCGGAGTGCCCCAAAGTGTCGTTTACCATACGCAGGCTAGCGGAGTAATTTCTATTTGCTTTAAAATTGCAATACTTTTTAAAGTTCCAGAGGAGGCCCCAAAGCCTCACTTGTGTTAGGAGTCTATGGGGAAGAGGGTGCGCGGGCTATGTGTTGTGGCATGTTCAAGCTAGTGGGTCGAACTATCAGCCCGGCGCAGCATGGGGTCATATCGTCGTTACCGTTTTGCATTCAACTTATTTTGCCTCTGTTGGTGGACAGGGCCGGGTTCACGATACGACCGCAGGTCCTGCTGGAAGAAGTGTCCGTCTCGACCCAAACCAATGCGCTGCTTGCCTCTGCAATGGATGTAGCGTCGAGCGCGTGGCTTCAGCGTAGATTATCCATCTCCCAGCCCAAATTTCTAAGTTCGCTGGATGCTAGAGTCCAGCTTTGGCAAGCTGACGTGTCATCTCAGCATTTTTCCTGAGTGGAGACTTCAGGCTGCGCTCTCTGGAGCATCTCCTGGCACGGGAAGGAGCTCTTCCCAGTTCCATCTGCCTGGCGTGGGCCTCACTTTCACCGGAATGGTTCCCTTGGTTGAAAAACCTGCTGACTGCAGCATGGCCATGCGCCGCGGGGTGCTTGTCTCATGGACCCTGAACAGGCAACCAATTCCTTCCATCGATTACGTGCACGTCGCACCTTCCAGAAAGCACTGCAGAAGATGAAGGCTGGCTTTTGCCCTCCCTGAGATGCCGTATGGTCGTAGAGCCCCCTACTTGAGACAGTGTCAGCTATGAAATCTCTCCAAAGTAGAACCTCAAAGGTTGTGATTTTGGCCTGGCATGAAGATCTGGTTTCCGACGACCCTGTCATCGTTTAAAACAGCAGCTGTCAAAGCTCGCCAAGGCGTCTCATGCTTCCTTTCTCTGTTCTGTTTGGTCAGTCCATGATTCTCGTACATGTAAAATATGAAGAAACTGTTTACGTGTGGGTGCCATTGCACCCATTCAGAGAGGGCAGTCTGTTTGGCAGCATCTTCCATGCTTAGCCGAGCTCCTTGGAGCCAGTCTAAAAACAAAGGTTGACTCTTCCCTACTCTTCCGTTTCAGCAGTGGTGGGCGGAGCAGGTGGATCCTGCTGGAGTTCAGATCTTCGCGTTGCAGGACCTCATCTCTTGGTTTTTTCCTCCTGAAGTCCCACAGTCCACATAGCCGCTGGTTTGACTCACCGTGGTCTGCGGCATGCAGGCCTTGATGGACAAGGGTGTGTAGGTACACAGACCCAGGAGTTCATGCTCTTGACTACATCCCTACAACAGCATCGGCAGCGGACTTGTTAATGTGGCATCGAAACCGCAGGACATCACAGCATGTTTGCTCAAGGATCACAGTTCCATAGTCCTTCTTGTTCATACCATAGACTCGTGCAGCTGGTCGTTTCTTTTCGAGATGTGGTTGGCAAGCAAAGTAAGATTCCCATGCCGTTTCTGCAATTAGAAGTTCGAATCTTTGCGAGAGCAGCCACCAGCCCTGCACGCAGAATCCCGGAAGGATGTTGCGCCCAAAACACTGTGGTCTGCGTTCTTCGGACACTTTGACGGCAATGGAGTTATGTTGCAGCTGTTGCTGCTGGGCTATTACTGGTTGTTTGAACTTCCCATACCATCACCAATGTCAAAGTCCTGTTGCCAATTGTAGGACCGTTCTTGACTGTGACTACTGTTTACTATCACCATTGGACCAAAACAGCTTTTTCGATATCGACTCGTGCGCCCGGCCATTCGCCGAAAAAGGGTCAACTGCATTACTCCCTATCAAAGCTCTTCCAGTGGCTGATTGGGACCAGTGCCGCAGCATCCACAGCTTGTCCACTCAGGCAGTCGGAATTGTCAAAGATAGTTTTCTTGTAGTCCTTGTCGTAAGCTGCGCGATTAAGGCATTAATGGGTGACGATGCGCTGGAAATACTTGCTGCAGCTAGGACCTAGCACGATTCCGATTGGTCAGGCTAACACAAAACCCTTGAGAGGCCTGGTGTCCACGCATGGAGATGCAATCAGCACCTGTAAACATAGGCAGGCGCAAATTTCTTAACTACACTACACACTCAGACATGTATCCACGTATACATATGTATGTATGCATGTATGTATGTCGGTATGCGTGTCTACATGTCTGTCTGTCTGTCTGTCTGTCTGTCTGTCTGCATGCAGGCATATATATATATATATACATATATGTATATATATATATATATATGTCTGTGTACGTATGTATGCATGCATGCATGCACATATACAGTACACATATGTACCCCCCGCCCACCCCAAAGGACCAACCTGTGCAATGCTAAATGTGAAGTCCGTGCATGTGTCCTGTTCATGCAGACAGTATGTATCTTCTGACCACGCACCCTCCCTGCATGTGGTCAAAGTTGAAAAAACCCCTAATAATCGTAGGAAGGCCTAGAACATTTGTTAGAACGGCTTATCGGATGCACCAACAACGCGGCATGGGAGTCCCGTCAACAGGTTGCCTAAAGGTCAGTTTAGGAAGATATGTATATACATATCTACATGTACATATCTATATATGCAATATATCTACATATATAGCGTGATATAAATTAGCTGTAATCGGCACTTTTATACTATAAAGTGAACAAGTGCTGAGGATTCGCTACAACATGACTACAAGACTTAGTCTAACAAGTGATCTTGGTAGAACATTAGAGCTTCCGCAATTTACCGGAGTATCTGCTTTGAGAAATCTGAGGTTCCAACGTTGAAGTGGAAGAAGCCGTGAAGGCTGGCAAGCAGAGAGTTTTACAGCTTTCGACATCTGAGTGTCTAGCCTGTGCCGTCGAAATGAATCTAGACATACATACATATATATATATATATATATATATATATAAGTGAATATTTGTGTATATATATATATGTTTATGCATATGCATGCATATATATATATATATATGTTTATGTGCACACACACACATATCTATCATCCTATCTATCTGTCTATCTATCTATCTATCTGTATATATATATATATATATATATGCATGTACGGTTGCGCCCCGTCGGCCCCCCCACCCCCTCCCCCTGGGTTTTTGAGCCCCCGGAGTGTAGTTCCCCGCTGCGAAATGATTGGGTGGTTTAGGCCTTCACGCAGTGCATCCCATGGGCCTTAAGCTTCGGAGTTAAGTTTTTTCCGTGGAATGGTTGGCTGCTGTAGGCTGCAGGGGTTCAGTCAGGCCGGCTCAAGGCAAGTGTCAAGTGGCGAGTTGCAGGGGTGGCAGGGGGATAGCATTGGGGGAGGACCTTCAAGGCCAGGATGCCCGAAGCAATTCACAATTCTCACTACGGAGGCGCTGTTGGTCCTCATTGTCTGTTGGAACGAGTGACACCATGTCCCCCTGAAGCAGCCAGGCACGGCGTGAGCTCCTGGCAATCGTCTACTACTTCTTGCGCGGCTGGCTGTGAATAGCCGAATGTCGATCTCTGGTTCTTGCGGGTTCACGGAAGGTGAAGTCACCCTGTTGCATTTATCTACTCGCTGGAACAGCTAGAGCACATGGCTCCTGGGATGAGTTCACAGATCCGGGACACAGAATGTCACAGGTCAAGGAGCTACTTATACACTACCAACAGCAATCGTAAAGAAGATGGTGACGGCAGCAAAGGCACGAACGGCAAGACTAGCGTGGTTGTAATGAATTTGGCTGCAAAGGCAAATTGTGCGAGAATGGTGTAGCGAGAAGGAAAGCAAAAGACTCGCCAAAGTCATAGATGACAAGCGTTGCACAGCTCGGCTGCGCGAGAACAGGCAAAGTCCCTGCCATTGATTTTACACTCAGGGCCCAAAGGTGGCGCTGACTCAGAAGGAGGATTGGGAAAGTGTGTGCTTCATTTGAAGAGTTATTGCATCTGTTCTACTTCGCGCAGTTGCAACATGCGGCACAGGCCGGCTAAGGCTGAAGATAATGCGTGGGCTGGGGACCGAGGTGAGCAGTTTCTGCTGACAGTAGCCGACTGTAGACCTTCACCGTAAATCCAAACTCTCGTCTTGACTCAGGCTTGCTTCGTCGACATCGGAGCCTTCGCTAAGGCCAGCTGTTGTGATTGTCCGTCAGAGCTTAGCTGGCTTAGCTTGGGGCTGTGAATGCAAGCAAAAAAGAGACAGGCGCATCCCTGGTCGACTGCTGCAAAGAATGAGTGAAGCCTCCAATTACCTTTCCTGAGAAGCTCGGCCAGGCATGCGGAGCCTGACGCAGTTGCCCATGGTATTGCAGGTCATGATGAAATTGAGGGCGAAGTGTCACCAGCGTCGGGAAGTTGTCGGCAGTCTTTGGTTGAAGGTGAACTGTATCATTATATCATACAAGTGCTATATACCTATGTCGTTTTGGTTTTTCAAGCCGCGCGAAACCGCAGCTTCAGGCCCTTCCAGTCGAGCTGCGGCTGAGGTCGCCTTGAGGCCTCGGAGAGTGCCACGGTACTCTGAAGTTGGGACCAACATGTGTATATGGATGTCCATGATATACATGTATACAGGTCTTGAATAATCTGCTAGATGTCACGGGATCAGTGTAGCCTGGTCGAATCTTGACAGGATGTCTCACACTAAGTCTTCGCATTCCCGATCGCAAGAGGCATCATGAGGTGTGCCACCGCCAAGCGCATGCCCCCCTCGATCAGCCGCGGACCGCCTAGCTGCTGCATAGTTTCAGATCTGTGCGTGCACACTCACGCGCGTGGAATGAACAAATCCAGATTTGTTGATGTCTCGCTAAGGTCGCCTCTCAGCGATCCGGAGCAGCTGGTGCTGTCTGGCAGTCTGCTGAGCAGGGTGGTGGAGTCACATGTGGACTTGCGGGGGCACGAATGAAGCAAAAATTGGAACCGACAAGCTATGGTGCCGGCAACAGATGGCCTTGGCTGAGCGTTCGTGCAATGAGCTTTCACCAGGCCGATATCCGGATGGAGTCGGCGGAAATCGCCTGGTGGCAGAGGTGCCTCTCAGGCACGGCCAGACGTCGTGTTCACAAGTGCTGTATGAAGTGCAACAGCACAGCTGTCACACGCACTTCGACACATGGTACTGATTTTTTTGCCAGGGACCACGAAGTTGTTTGTCGGCAGCACCGGCGAGCCAAGCAGCTCTGAGCCTTGAGTGCATGGAAGGCCTTACACGCATTCGGGAGTCGAAGAAGTACGGCAACAGTATCCCGGGAAGAAATGAGCGAGTGACCAAACCTTCAACGTACTTCAAAGCCTGTCCGTTCTACTACAACACAGCAAGTAGTGAAAGCAGTTTCTGTGCAGTAGATGGTCGCTGCACACTTGGCGCTTGTCTCAAGACTGGGCCAAAGTGCGAGTCCGGCCGTCCAAGACGGCCCTTCCGCTCTAGCTCAGGGACCTCCATGGGGATGTGTATGTAGGTAGGTAGGTGCGAGTGGGGGAGGTAGGTAGGTAGGCCGGAAGGCATCCATGCATGTATGTGTGTGCACGTCTATGTGCATACCCGTACATAGAAGGATAGTACAAATATACCTGCAACGTAGGTATGGTACGGCATGGTGTGGTATGGTATAGGTATGGTATGGTGTGCACTATGTGTATGTGTGGATGTGCGTGTGTATGTATGTGTGTATGTATGTAACATGTATGTATGTATGTACGTATGCATGTATGGATAGGCGCACACACGCATATATGTATGTATGTATATATATATATATATATGTATATATGTATACACACACACACACGCATGTATGCTGCTTCAGAGCTGTATGGCATGTATGTGCATACACTCATACACTGACAGCACTTTCAAACAGGCGTTGTAAGTGTGTGTGTGTGTCACTAGAGCAACGCAAAGAAGTAAATATCAGCAGATGGACAGTGATAAGAGGTCAATGCGAGCACTGTGATCAGGCATTCGGTTGCAGAGGTACGAGCCAGACTGCTAAGGCTCAATATGTGTTTATATGTGTGCTTGTCACACACACACAAGCAGACGACGCACGCACTCTCACACACGTGCAAAATATGCGCGAGTACATGGAATATGTACGCAGACAAAGACACGCTTTCAAGATAATACGTGTACATGCACATGTTCTGCACATAGCCTGATACGCGCATGTACGTATGCACTGGCAGATGCATGTTTGCATAGATACATGATGCTAGATGTATGGATGTATAGATGTGCAAACCTATATATGGATGCATACATGCATGCTGCAAGCAACATCACAATGCCTTCACAGATGCAGAAAAACCGTAGAACAGTACACGTGAGGAGATGGTCAAGTCCATGAGTGAAGCAACAAACGACCAATGGACGGACTGACTGACTGGCCGACCACCGACCGACTAAAGCGGCTTGCATACAATCCCAGGAGGCCCATCCATGTCACCGCCCGGCAGGGGCTTGGGATTCAACTCGAACACGATCTTGTCTTGAAGATATTACTGTAGTACCAACCTACAGCATTTTTGAAGATATTACTGTAGTACCAACCTGCAGCATTTTTGCACGTGATGCTCTGAAGATCATTGTCTTTGTGGTAGACGCTGTTCTGTCCTTGCTTCCCGGGTACTAGTGAAGTTCTCCGTATTTTTTCGAGTCATGTACTGACTGTTAGCTCTCAGCGATGATGTGATGATGTTAGTTAATGAAGGTGATGATGATGGTGACGCCAACGTCTATGATGACGACTGATGCTAACAGTAGTGCTGGCTATCATTGCTCTTTCCTTTCAACATGGCATCATGATTGTTGATCTCTGCGATGAATGTGTTCAGATTACAGGTTTGTCGCTCGATGTTTCCGAATCGGCCGCCTGCCGGATATTCTGCAAACTTGCGGGCAAGCGGATGTCGTACAAAGAGTCGCAGGGAGATTCTGATTTGTTGATGCCTGTGTACTGGCAAGACGTGTGATGACAACATTCATTCTGTTCTGAACGTCACAGCTTTCTGTTTCACCGGAAAGTATTGGAAGCTGGTGCAATCAAGCCTTTAGATCCCTGACAGCACTTCCTGAGTTCTGCCAACTCCCTACGCCACTAAGCCTCTAAGCTTCTCCAGATTTCCTCGAGCCCCGACATCACATGGCATGGGTGCCCATGGGGCGCCTGCTGCAGCTTGCTTCGCCTGGGTCGTGCCCCTCGTCGCAGCGCATTGTTCTGCAAAGGGCATAGGGGTCCGGTTGCATCGGCTTTCGAGCTGAGTCCTGTGGGTCATGTGCCTCCAATGCAGAAATCAGAAATTCAGTCTGTGGAGAGTCTGCACGTGTCCGCAAATCTAGTTCCGCCTCGACAAGGCTCTCTGCGGTGCAGGCGGAGAAGGATCCAAGCAGGCTGGTTCGTATCGCAGAGTTGCGGCAAAGGAGATAGGTTTCAGTACCACGTCCACCAAGCACTAAACGCCAACCACAAAAGCCCTGATCTGATGGATCCCAAGATTGTGGACGCAGGCGCCTCACAGAAGCAGACTGGGCCCGGGGGCTCTGCAGCCGGACCGCCGTGGGATTCTATGCAGGACCTGTGTTGTTCTGGGATTGGGAAGCACGGCTCGTGAATCTTCGAAATGAAATGATCTGGTGAAGACTCCAAATGTGAACCTTTGGAATAAAACTTCGCGGCTTTGTCAGGAACTGCACGCAGCTTCGAGAAACTTTTGCCTTCGAGGGTCTTGGAGAGATGCCGCTTGGCAAAGGTACGGTACCAACAGTACCCCCTCGGGAGTTTTCAGACTTTGCCGGGGCTTGCAGGCCTTGCTGATTTTGTTTTGCAGCTCGCAAGCGTCTTACCGAGGCAAGACGCAGACGCCCTCCAAGGGCTCTTGGATTTGGAAGGGCCGGAACTGGTGCTGGGAGGCATTGGCACAAGGGCTTGAAGCCCTCCGGTTGTGGGGAGATTGATCAGCCTCCCGACCGGAAACGCTGCAAGGCGGTGAAGCGCCACGCCTGCTACGGGCATCACTCCTGGGAGGACATTTCGACGCTTCATGCGATTGATACGGAAGCTGTTCTGCATCCAATATGTTATCGTTGCATCGATGCAAAATCACCATGTTCTGGAGGATGCGCAACAGCAAGCAGCAGCAGACAAGCCGCCCGGCGGCTCTAGTTGCAATGTGTTGCAATCGTACTTGATGCCGAACCATTTCGGGTTTAGACTCTGCATGGACAAGTGTCATTCATGATTGAGACGCTTCCTGCGACTCAGAATCCGGATGTGTTCCTGGAAAGAGATGGCTAAACACCCTACTCCCTGAGACTTGCAGGTACTGCTAAGTGCCCGATGGCACCCGATGCAGCTTCAAAAGCTAAATATCCATTCGACGGTTTGGTCATGTGTTCATGCGTACATAGAGGTTGGAGAAGACCGATGGAGAGTAAGAGGCAGAGAGAGAGACAGCGAGAGAGAGGTGGTGAACGAGGGATCCCGCTTTGCCTCACCCCAAACGACCGGCACGCAAGCACGCAAGCAAGAGAGGTGGTGACCGGAACGGTTGGACGCATAAGGAAGAAAAGGAAGGGAGCAGTGCAAGGAAGAGTTACTATGCTTGTGTGGGACAGGGTTTATCGGCTTATCGGCCACAGAGGAGACCAGATGCAGTGTACAATCGCGAATAGCATACGGTTCATGCTGCCTGCATGTGTTCCCAGCGTTCGTGCGCAGCCCTGGAAGGGAAGCTCCGGACCTTGACGACACGCCCTTCCCTGCGCTGCAGGCTTGCGGGGGGTGTTGGCCCTGCTCTTCGATTAAAGTCAGCAGTGCAGTGCGAGAGCCTTTCAGGACGCCGAGCGCTGTGATCTGCCAGATTTGGGTGCCGACGAGCTGCACATGGTACACTCTGGTACATACTTTGGCAGGTAACTCTTACATTGGCGCAGTGTTTTGAAGCACGCGCACCGGCCCGACCCATTCAGTATCACGCATTGGCAGGCGCTTCGCTGGTGCCGGATCCGCCGCCTGAAGGCTCCGAAAGCGGACACGACGAGTTTGTGTGTGAGAGCTTTATGGGCTTCCTGGAGCCATTGGAAGTCTTGCTGGTCGGTTTGGCTAAAAGCTTTCTTCAGAGAGAGAAAGGTCTCAGTACGGGGGACGCGGAGACGAGCGGGGAAGCCATCTGCCCTTCTGAAAGGAGACAGAGAGAGACGCCTTCGCTCGTCACTCCCCTTGTCCCGACAATGTGCTTGATGCCTGGAGGCTTTGAGAGGCCCCCTATGACCGGGCGAGAGAGAGAGAGAGAGAGAGAGAGAAGCCAGAGGGAGAAGAGCATGAAGAGACTGCACAGATGCAAACACACATGTCCGGGGAAGTAGCCAGCTCTAGCCATGGGGCCCGAACGGCGCCAGAGAGTGACCAGCCGACGGCCATCACTGCGGAAGTGGCCATGCTTCGCTTTTTCCTCAGGGAGCTGGCGCTCCTCCTTGATGCCCAGCCATGGGGGCACCTGGTGCGTGACAAGCTTGAAGATGCCATGGACGCAGTGGGAGGCCGCCAACCAATGGTTGTTACGGGGGAACAGCAGAGAGTGATGTGCCTCCGCGAACCGCCACCTAAGAAACGCAGACGCATGGACTACCTTGGCATCGTCAAGTTGAGGCTCGAAGACCTAGGCAACTCCGATGGGGGGGCAGATGGGCCGAACCAGCAAGCCATCATGCGCGACCTCCTCGACGTGCGCAAAGATCTCGACCGTGCCAGAGCAAGCTTGGAGGACGCCACTGACTCACAAGGAGGGGTCCAAGTAGCACATAGCTTCGAGGGACTTTGCCAAGCTCGTGAAGCCATAGAAGCAGCGCTGGGAGCGGCCGCAGCGGGGGAGTTTGCCTGGATCTCCTCAAGCTGGGCCTCTGCGGTGGCGCTGCTCTTGGAGGACGCCGTGATGTTGCATGAGGAGCTCGACCTTCTGAACTATGTGCACGCATCGGATGTGACGGCGCTGAACGAGGGGGCAGAGGAGAGACCACCGCCTCGTGGGGGAAGCGTGGAGACACAAATGCAGTCCGTGCTGACCTCCATACGGGGTCTCCTTCCCTTCCAAGCACGGGGACATGAGGAAGTTCGCCTCCTGCTGGGGGACATGACTGCCAGACTCGAAAGCATGGTCCATGTGGACACGCAGACGACGGAGGAAGGGGAGCGACCTTCGCTCTTTCAACCTCAGCCCCAAGCAGCGGGGGGAACATGGGTGCCGCCACTTGATACACCACAGTGGTCGGGCAGCATCCCGACGCCTGGCAACGAGGGGGACCCGCCGTCGATGCCAGAAGAAGACCCATGGGGTCCCACCGACGAAGACCTGCTGGCAGCCATGGAGGAGGCCGAAAGACAAGCAGAGCAAGACGCGCTGCACGAAGCGGAAGTGGCGGCCACCGTGGCCCAAGAACCTGACGCTGAAGACGATTCTGAACCTGCACTTGTGAGGGGGAGCAGCCACAGAAGACGTAGGATGCACGCAGCAGTTTACGACGACCATGGGGGGTTCTGGCACCCTGGAGAGTTGTAGGTAGGTTACCTTTATGACATAGGAAGACTCTAGGTGCGGTGGTTTCCAGATTATTTTCTAATTCAGTTTTAATTCAATTTCAATTCAATCAACAGATTCACTTTTAATTCAACTTGTTGCCAGGGTCGATCATGCAATTCGATTTTGATTCAGCCCTTGAAGCTGCCTATCCCCGCGGCATTTTGCTCGAAGGGCGACTTCTAGAACTCTAGGAATCCTAGTTGGTCAAGTCTTGCCGGATGAATCTGGAGACGGGGCCGCATTGGGCTGGGGCTGCGTGGGCTGAGGGGGGAGGGGGGGGGAGGGGGGGAGGGGGGGGGGGGGGGGGGGGGAGGGGGGGGAGGGGGGGAGGGGAGGGGGGGAGGGGGGCCCCTCCGACCCCTCAGGCGGATGGTCGGCGGAGCGGGAATCCTTGCTTTTCCCTACAAAAAGTGTAGAAAAAATGCAAAATGAATTCAATAAAAGTTCAATACAAAATCAAAAAAAGATCAAAAAAAGTTCAAAAAAAGATCAAAAACAAAGCAAAAAAAGATCGCCCCCAACCGAGTGCCACCGCCCCCCCCTACCCCCCTCACCCGCCCTGCCCCCCCCCCCAGGCCCCCCTGACGTGCCCAAACCCTGTCGCACTGACCTGAGGCTGCAGAAAACAAACAGGATCCTTGCAGCCCTTGCACTTTGCACGTTGAGGAGATCGCCGTAGCCCTGGCCAGCCTCGAAGCCTCTAACTCTAACCTAAAGTCTAGCGTCTCTGGAGGCTCTGGCGTCCAGAATAACCAGCGTCACTACAGCGTGAGAGCAGGTCCTACGCGTAGACCGAAGTTGAATTCAAATCGAATTCAAATCGCATTGGGTTCCAAGGCCCCCAAACCGGGTGAACTTAAAACGAATTGCCCAAGCGAACTTAAATCGAATTGAAACCGCAAAATAAAATAATTTAGAAATTCCTTCCTAAAGGGATTTCTATGTCATAAGGTTACCTGTTGCTGCGTGTTTTCTGGGGGTCCTGAGGGGTGCCAGTGCCTTGTAGGAAGCCAGGTCTGAACCGGTAGGGAGGCCAGTTGTAAGTGTGTTGTGGGTCTAGGTTGCAGTGCAGTATGCAGAAGCTGCAGTACAGTGTTGCTTGGAAGTTTCGCCGGGGCCTCAGCCTGTCCCCTGCTGGCTGTAAAGTCTTGTGTGTGAAGGGGGGACAGTGCCTTTTGTTGAAAACGGATCAAAGCCCTGCAAGTGGCCACACGGATCCGTCCACCAAATGGTGGCTGACCACGGGAGCAGGCGCAAGGCCGGGGGATACTCTAGTTAAAGTACAGGGATTGGGGGTCCACCGGTGCCGGCCTGCGCAACAGCTCTAGCCGTGGGGTCTCACAAAGGACGAGAGACCCAGTGCGCGCGCGCGCGCGGGGGGAGCTCCGGCTTCCTTCTGGCTGAGTGCAAGCAAGAGAGAGACCCCCCTACGCCCAGCAGAAAGGCAGAAAAGAGAGATGGAGACAGAGAGAGGGATCTGCAGGGCCCGTACTCGCCGACGACCGCGAAGAGCGCGATCAGGACGAGCAGACGACCCTCGCTTGCAGGACAGCATCTTCATGTCGCTCAGCCTTCCGAGCCGGAAGCTGTAAGGTACATGAACTACCAAATCGAAGCTCACGAAGCTGAGTTCTGGTTTCACCAAAATGCCCTGCTCTCAGATGTCTCATCGAAGCCTCGAGAGGAGAGCTCTGCATGACTTGTGCTCCGCCTCGAGGTGGCCGTCTACGTGTTAAACCTGCCAACTGCAGCTGACCGGTGGTCACGAATCTCCAGGCTGTCCGTTCAAAAGTGAAACACACCCGGCCGCTCAGCTGTGTAAGTCGGGCGGCAGTCTCGTATCGGCCGGACAGTAGTCAAGTCGGCAGGGCCTTGCTGAATTCGTTCCGAGAAGCCTCTGATCAAGTATGAGAAGCGATGCATACTTGGTGATTCCGTTCATTTCATGCGACACTGTAAGCCTACGGTGTCTGTATGTGCTGCTTGTGCAGGAAGCTGGAGGACCCGGGAACTATTCGTGAATGAGATTCCGACGCCCGTATTGAGTGGAATCGCCGCTCCAGGACCTTCACATTAGTGCAGACCGCGTTCCGGGGATCGACCTCTCCGAGCCAGGAGCCATCCAGCAGGCGCAGGAGGCCTGGTAGTTCGGGGGGGCGGCAGCAGTGAGGGTTGTGGTAGCTACACGCCGTCGTGACGGATGTGGGAGTGCAGTGTGGCAGGTTTTCTGGGCTTTCATTGAGACTCCACTTCAAGCTCCGATTAGGTGCTTTCCACCAAAGGCAGCCCAGAACGGGATTCCTTGGCGGCAGGTCCTTCAGCTACCACAAGTAGATTAAGTAGACGCCTCTTGTCATGGTGTGCTTCAATACTCATTCGAAACTGTAGGCGTAGCAGGGTTGAGTGCACAGAGCTCCCATCCTCAATGGGGCGGGATGGCATCGGCAGCTTCCTGTTCTACATATCCCGGCCCATGCTGGCCAATCCGTGCTAGAGTGAAAAACAGGTGTTGACTTTGGTGTTGACTTTCGACCCATGTCGACCCTGAGGCTGATTCATGTCAGCCTCATGTAGATTGCCGCAATGGCAAGTCCTAGCATGCGGAGATGCAGGAGGGCCTGGTGCCCCGCCTGTGGAACTTCTCCGCTGCAAAGCAGAACATGGTAAGGCCAGCCATCTGAGCAGAAAGGAACAGTGGTTCTTGATCGTCATTTCATTCGAAGTCTCTGACTCCCTCCCCGCATCTCATATATTGCAATTTATTAGGCTCCACTGCTAGACGTACAGAGTGAAGCCAGGCTTCTGAAGAACAGCAGCGAGACTACCGCGAGGAGGCCGGACTCAAGGGAAAGCCGGAAGCCTGCGCTCTTCGCTTCGAGGTGGTAGGGCTGCAAGATCGGGGAGAGGTGGTGGGCTGAGTCGTGATGTGTGCCCAGGTACCTAGACAACTATGGACGGGGGACAATTGGGTGCGACGCTCCCTCAGCAGTCGTTGCTCGTATAATGTCGTATGTTTGCCAGCGTGTGGACCAGCCCATCTTGCCGTCGAGAGACATGAAGTGTTTGGACACAAGGCAGCTGCTCATCTGCGGGCCATGTGGCAGGCCACCTTCTGATTTTTGTGAGAATCGGACTCACACTCTGCCCATAAGCTTCACAGAAGGCAACGAGCAATGCCCACCGCCTGGAGAAGCCTGGAACCCAGCACAGACCTGGCTTCGGCTCAGAGAGTTTCGGCACGAGGAAGACAGGCCACGTTGCACTATCCTCGCTGCATGCATCTGTACGCTGTGCTGGGCTGCAAGGCCGGTGGTCCTCATCCTCGAAGATGATGTGACCTTGGAGGAGCTTTCGTTGCAATAGCTGGGCAGATCCAAATATGTGTCGAGCCTTGGAATATGGTATCCCGATGCAATAGACACGAGATCAGTGGTGTAGAAGCTCCACAACCAGTGATTTGATAGAGAAAGTAGCAAGATCACCGTCAAGTGCATGCGGTTGAAGCAGGACGACTTCATGCTGAAGCTGCGCCGTTTGCTGCGTCACGAGGCCTGTGCATGAAGCTTGCCTGGGCTTGTCGGACTCCGGTCTGCCGGCGAACTGTACAGAAGGCCCTTGTGTTTTCAACAGTGCCATGAATGATACCACGGTATTGGATGTTGGAGCGCATGCCGAAAGTCGAAGTTCGTGTCGAAGCCTTTTCAACTGTCTCCCTGGTTTGCTGTTACTCAGGGTGCAGACTGATGGTTGCGGCGGGATTTTGAGAAGTTGGACCTGGAAGGCCCCATGCGACTGGGAGGTGATCTCCCTTCGGTCGCAATGCCCCTATGGCGTCTGCGTTTCCCCGCTCCTGAGCCGCAATCCATTGCACTTGCTCAGTCTCCGATATTCGTACGTGAGTCCTTGCCGGACGAGGCACCTCACCCGGGTGCAGCCAGACGCCAACGAGCCGGAGGAGATGTGCAGGCTGTGCTCGTGGCTGTGCTTCCGGGCTGTGGGGTCTGTTAACAGGATGGGTTCCGTCGGATAGGATTTTTCCTCTGCTTTCGGGAATGGGGCTAGGCCAGGCTTCGCAGCTGCCAAGAATGGCTTTGGCTATTCCAGGCACGGAGTGAACTATGGCTTCTATGCTATGCTCTACCGTGCCGGAGCCTGAGGCGTCAAAGGGATTCAAAGGTCAGTTCTTGAGTACCGTTGACGTTCAATGTCAACGGTTGCGACCCGGTGCTGGCCTCCAGGATGCAGGCTTTCGGACTTTGGACGTCCTGCTTTGCAGCCATTCTCGAGAAACGACCACGAAGCCCCACTCCCGCTTCTGTTGAGCACACGCTACTTGCAAGAGCTTCCAGCCGTGGAACAGTCTGTGCGATTTGGCATATCTGTTGAACCCATGGCGCGCCAAGCAGCACCGTGGTTGCTGGAGCCTGGGCCAAAGCTCAGGTGTGCTTGACGGGATCATAAGGTCCTGGTGCCTGCGAGGTTTGTCACATGACTGATTGGGAAGGAGGCGTTTCCCCCACGTCACGCTTCCGAAGGAACTTGCTACTGAGACCTCATTCTTCCGACTCAATCCCGTGTCTGGTGCAGGCCAGCTGGTGTCAGCGTTCCTGGCTTCGGCTGGCCTTTGCCCTCCAGCCAGCGTCATGCAGCCTTCCTGGGGGAGGCTCAACCTGAGGGAATGCAACAGACACCGTACGAGCTTCGCCATGAGCTTGACACAAGCCCGAGAGTCAACAGATCTCCAATACTAGTTCTACTCCTCTCCAAGTGCATGGCCCCTTCTCCCACCCTTCGAAGATCGTCCAAGGTGGACTGCTTGCATCATCCGCGCGAACTGCCTTGATCCTTGGCAGCACCCTCGTGCAATGTGTTCGTTGGTGGCAGAAGAGCTTTTACACTAGCTGTTCTGAAGGTTTATCAAGGCCCCTGGCAGACTCCTTCCACGGGGGAGTTCCCGCAGCTTGGCGTTTTGCACATCATGAAGTCAGAGCTAATATCATTTTCTGCGCTGTGTCACCAATATCTAATTATCTAATTATTTGTTCGAGGTCTCGATCAAAGTGCGCAGCGGCTCTGGCGTACCGCTGTTAGAGTTTAAGAAGGGCGCTATCGCCACGCTGGCGACCTTTGGCCTGCTCCTTCGGGATCCCTTGTCTCTTATTGGGTGTGTATGAAAGTTGTTATGTTACGGCTTGAGCTCCGTGGGCCGATCCTGCACAGCCGATTGTTTCCCAAGCCCAGCAGAAAAGACTCATGCCAGGCGCAGAGCGACGAGGAGCCTTCACACGCTTCAGGATGAAAGTCGTTGTGCTACTATTAGGTTTTTGTTCTTACTATCTTTGTCCTTCTTGCAAAGACGTATGCAATGTAACCAAGTATATGTTCGTCGTTTGTAGGCACGTATACATCACATGTGCCTGTGTCCCCCCGTTTCAGGGAACATTGGGGATCATGATGGATGCGGTTGCGCTTCTCCTACGACGATGACTGCGACGACACCGGCGACGACGACGACGACTGCTACTACCATGACTCCTGCTACTACTTCTCTCACCATGACTTCCAATGCCGCATGCGACTGCTGCTGCTGCTGCTGCTGCTGCTGCACCATGAGGGAGCATGCCTCGTTTAGAGTGCCTTGTGCCTACAATCCTTGCGTGAACTCCCTGTGCCAGCTCTTGCTTCTTTGTCTCATCTCGATTGTGACTTGCCAGTCTTTGTTCGGCATGCTTGGTTTTGTCTTCGCTGTTGATGCTGCGCCGGAAATGCGAGCTGCGCGGCATGTGCAAAACCGCGCTTGGCGGGAGGCTCGTAAGTAACGCAACGGCTGAGTGCTATGGTGTCTGATGGTGTCCGTGTGATCAGGAAACCTCTTGGGCTCCATCGGCCAGGAAAATGCTGCTGCTAAGGCTGTTTATGGCTTGGTCATCTCTCCTGCGGCAGCCGGATGTGCAAACCGCACCATCGGTGAAGAAGCACTTGCATAGCAGTGTGCGCGATCAATCCATTTGGGATCCTTTGGAGGTAATTACAGTGCTTGCTGTCGTTTTTGTGTGCAGCAGGCGTTCATCCGTGCTGTTGCCAATGCTGATGATCGGTACGTTTCCTATGGGCACGAATCCATGGCTACAACTCCTCGAATGGCGCGTTTTCCGCATCCTGTTTGGTTCCTACGCCATGCGTTTGTTGTTGCTTTTTCCAGGGTCGCTCGAGATCAGAACCTGCGTTGGCAGGAATGATTCATCTTGACAAAAAGCAGTGCTACTATCTAAGCGCTACTTCCTAAAGTAGCACAAGACTGCTGCGGCTGGTTGAGAGGCCTCAAGCTGGCCTGCCATAACAGCCAGCAGTACTACTTCCATTGGTGCTGAAAGTAGATCGCAGCCCGAAGCCGCAACCACCCAGAGAAACAAGCACGAAACTGTCGCATCCCTCTGCCAAACGGTTCAGACATGCCACCAAAATTCTCGACTGCGCATGCCCTGCGACTCTGCAGATTTGCATTCCCATTTTTGCAGCTTACAAGGCAGCCGCAAGGAACCTCTGCAAGATTTCTGCGAGCATAAAATAAACAAACAGTTGACTGCACCGATGACATGTCGGTGCCGGACACAGCTCTAGATGCCGCAGCTGCTGCTGCCGCTGCAGGTGCTGAGCCTTCGGAGAAGGCGGGAAGACAACTCCATGGCGTTTCGGCTTCGAACATGTCGGTCAGAAGCTGCGCAATGCGCGACGGCGAAGGGCTCGTCTGGACCCCGAGGCGTCACATTCTCGCTTGTGCAAGTATAACCCATAATTAGCCGACCGGGTCAGAGCGCAGAACTACCTGAGGTTTTCGAGTTTGCCGTGTGCACTCCGTTTTTGTTTTTTGCATATAAGATCAGGTCAGTTCAGATCAGTTCTGATTCGCAGTGCTGCCCTGCAGTATAGCGTCCAGGAGCCTTCTGATTAAACATGGATGGAAAGTTTTGTTACGGTCCTGTTGTGTAGAACAGTTTGCACTTTAGACTCTGGACAAACATGATATCAGCTCGCGATTTTCGGCCTTATCCCCATTGGTGAGTCACAGTGGCCAACGCTGCCATGGAAGACGACGGCATGCCTTGGTTGGGAGAAGATCCAGCGGCACCAGAAGACGAAGCCGCTGGATCCGACCAAGCGCAGATGCTTTCCGATGGATCGACATACCTCGATTGGCTCATGGAGGACCCACGGCATGGGGCATCGTGCCATGTTTCCCTTGGCGCTTGTATCCCTGTTTCAGTTTGCATTATTCATGAGCATGGACAAAAATCACTCCAGGACCTGGGTCAAGGAGCAGTGGGGCACCATGGGCCTGATCCGTATGTGCGCGACCAAGAGATGCCCGTACACCGTGCTGAGGAAGCGCCGAAGCATCAGGAGCAACGCATGTTTTCTACTGAAGATCTTGCGGAGCTCCAGGCTTCGGATGCTGTTTCCAAGAGGGAGGCCACGGCTCACAAGACTCCCAGGTCCGAGCTTTTGGAGAATGAGAAACGACGCAAAGCATGTGAATTTGAGCTGCCCGGTGCACCCAGATCCGCGCAAGTTGGTGATAAAATTCGGAAATCCATGCAAATCCACTACATGTGGTCGACTTGGCAGAAAACAACGGCGTCAGCTTGATTCACTCCTTGCATTGCTACGGAACGAGGTAGGCTTTCGGAACTATGAGGATTTGCAGATGCACTCCGCCAGAAACCATCAGGATTGCTTTGGCCCAAGCATTCCAATAAAACACGTCTGCTGTGGTGCCTGACCCAACATGGAGGCATTTCATTGGATTCTTCAGTGACGCACCCAAGCTGTCGCGACACAGGAGCAATACGGAGCAATTACGTGCACAAGTTGAGGCAGCTTAAGTGGGAGCCAAACAGATACGCAGCAGGTCCTTCTACGGCGTTTCCATTCAAGGCACTGCTCGCTTCTTCATTCATTAATTGTCCACTACAGCAGTGTGTTCCGAGCAGGTCCGAATGTGCAGCTTGAAAAGGATGCGTTTCACTGTGCAGCGATGTCTTCAGGTCCAAATGCGCAACCTGACAACGATCAGTTTCAATTCTGCTCGCATGTGTACCCCCCCTTGTTCAACCCACCTCACGCATTCATCGAGGCGGATTCATGTTCTGGCTTGGGCAAAGGGCCTGAAACCGCACGCGGGTGTGATTAAGCACGATGGCAAATCAGCTTGCTCTGAGTGTGCGTGGTCCGGATGGAAACCAAAGATCCCCTGCGCTGCTTGGCATATCTTGGCATGCCTTGGCATACGTTGGCATATCCTTGTTCGAATCAGTCCAGCTCTGACACCACAGCTTCGTTTTGACGTGCCGGTGCTACAAGAACACATCGCTTGTCCCTTGGTGAGCAGAAGAGGCGGCTCCAGGCCCGCACCCGCGCGTTCGAGATCCTGCCACCTCTTGAGCCGCCGTGCGTCGGGCGAATTTCACGGGATGTGGTGCGTTTCTGACCGTTTGCGAGTCGCATGCATGGTGTTGCGTTGATATTTCTTCAGAATCTAAGGACAGCGTGAGGACTGTACCCGTGGTTGCCGTCCGCACAGCTGGGCTGCGTGCCTTTGACTGAAAGATTGCATTTGCATGTCATGGAATTGCGATTCATCCATTCCAGGACATCCGCAGCGTTTCCCCAGGGCCAGCGAGAAATGATGCATCGATCGGCCAGCCCGGGAAAAAAGGAAAATCCGCGTGTGGGAACTGATCTGAAGTGAACTCGACATCTGCTTCATCAGACCCGTACATGGCCGTCTGAAACTCTTCCAAAGTCATCTGAGCTGATGTGTTCTGATCGGATGTGATTTCAAGGACTGGTGCACAGATCCCCTTTGTAGGTGTTCCTGGCCACTGTCTTGGTAGCCCGTTTCGGTGTTTTCGGTGTCCTTTTCGGTGTTTTTGGTGGCAGAAATTTACATTTTTGCCACCGCTGAAAGTAGAAGCTACTGGTCATTACAGCTGTTCGCTCCCATGCAGCAGTCCTTTTTTATGTCAGCTGATGATGCTGCTGCTGCGACTGCTACTGACACTCCGGGAAAAGTATATTGCAACGAAGAAAGCAACCCGAGACCCGAAACCGTTACAGAAATGTACATTGTATAATTATATATACACATATGTATTGGTTTTGTACATGCGTGTACTGTATCATTGTTCAAACACATATATACATACACGCATGTATATCTTACATTGTTGCATCCGGTTCTGATTTTCGTGCCTTTCCATGTTTTGTGGTAGTGATCTTCCGTGTTGTGTACTAGACTGCGTTTTTCTGCTGCCCTCTGTGATTCTACAGTCTACATTCGATTCGCCGAACAATTCGCGGAGGAGCTGCAGCGGGGCCTCGAGGGCCGCAGGCACCTGGGTCCGGAAGAAGCCCTCCTGCTGCGCTATCAGAGGCGACTCTGCTTTTATTGACAATATCGATGCAGAACTGTGTTTGATATTATTCTACATGTCATAGCCTTGTATCTACAGATAAGTATATGACGAAGTATATGGTAATTTGTGACATTGGGCAGGGAATCCCATGCACGGTTCGGGCGGAGCGAGCAGAGCCGATAGTGGGTTGACATGTCATGCTCCGTCCGACATGGAAACGAGCTTCGTCGCGCAAGACCGTACAAGCATGGAGCTCTAAATGAGGGGGAGTCGCAAAACGCCTGCAGAACAAATCCATCACCATTGAAGACCTTCAAAGAGAGAGAACGAACTACACGAAGTGCCACAAGCCTAGGCCAAGACTCGGTCCGGTGCCTGTCGGCGACGTGATGCGAAACACACCACAGGCCACTCGGGCCATTCCAGTGAGTATGAAAGCGTGTTGCCTTTCAGAGCTCGGGGGAAGCTGCCATCTTACGGTCTTGCAGATCTTGCAGTGTCAGAATGTGTCAGGAATGTTGGCAGAGCAAGAATCGTCCGTTCTTTCCTGTCCGCCTGCTTCCACCAGGACTTGGAGATCGGCTGGTTTGATGGTGATGGCAAGCTGCTGGAGGTCGCGCCGCTGCGCGCCAACGACGCGCAGGTCGTTTTGCATACATTCACGATGTTCGGCTTTTTCGAGAACGGGGTAAGCCTACTGCTCTTGGAACAAGGGGGGCTTCTTGAAGCAAAGGTATGGACTTGTTGTTGCAACGTGCAGAATGCCAGCATCGCTTCTCGAAACCCCGTGCAAACTCAAATCTTGCACAGCTACCAGCATGCCAAGGGAGACGGCGAATCCGCTTCTTGTTTCGCGTCAAGCAATGAGGTTACTTGGTCCAAGCACGACAGCGTGGCTTGGGGATTGGAAGCAGCTTGGCTGGCCAGAACGCTAAAAGATTGGGGCTGGGCATAGGCGGTGATCATATTACCAACTCCCCAGCTCATAGAACAAGCGCTAGCTGCCCAGCGTAACGGATTTTTCAAAGCTGACGGGCAGGGAACTTAGGTCCCAATCCATGCTTAGTTTCCGGCTCCTCCTTCTCGCCTGCTCGGAGCCCTGAACTCTTGAACATGAAGCTGCATCCCGGATCTCGGATTCTGGCCCTTTCTGGCCCAGGCCCCACCCGGCACTTTCGCAGCCAGCGGCGCGCGGCCGGGCGAGGCCATGCTCGACGTGGGAGCGATCGAGAGCTGAGGAGAAAAAGAGCCGTGGTCGCTTGGGGCCGCTTAGGGTTTAGAGACCGTCGTCCAGCGTCCGCTTGCTCCTGCTCGCGACTTCTTTGCAGAGGTTCTCCGAACAACGGATTTAACTACTAAGTCCTGTGAGGAAGGAGGAAAAGGAACGGGAAGAGCAGAAGCAGCGGCAGTGCTCGTCGTCGTCGGTCGCTGCAGGCCACTCCGGTTGTCCGGTTGATAATCGTCCAGAGCCAGACTCATGAGTATGTAGAGTCATGCAGCAGGCGCGGAGCCTGGACAGACTAGAGTTCAGCGTTCTGGCTTTGCATGTCTCTTTCAGGAAGCCTAGTTGACGGCCTTAGGAATCAAGCCTGCTCCTGCCGGATCTCAGAGCATTTGTACGACTAGCGCCACCCGACACCCTGGTAAATGCCGCGAGTGGACCGAACACACAACACATCATGCAAGACTCGGACGGCGTGCTGGCGGTTTAATTCCACTCCCAAGCTCGCATGATCCGCCAAGTGTTATCCACTTCTCGCCCCTCAAGGTTGACTCGCTGATCTCCATCGCGAACAAGCTGCACCAGCGCATTTGGGATGAAACTAGGCGTGCTACACGACCACAGAAACCCGCATGATTCGGGGGGAGGACGCCGACTCATGACCCAATCAGCCATCCATGGAGACATTGACGGGCCGGACAGCGGGGCTCAGGGTGCTTGAGAAAATTGGAGGAGGCAGCTTCTCTTTTGTAACAAGACGTGAACGCCACTCCAGGAGGGGTTGAAGGATGGGGCTTCAAGACTTCGTGTTACGACTAGGTTTTGGTGGTCATGTCGACCCTATCACCCTGAACAGGGGCTCTAGCACAGAACAAGCAAGCCCGAAGCCCTTGATGGAACCAGGTCCCACTTCGTAGACTCCCCCTTCACCCTAAACCCTCCTGCCTCTCCCAGAATGTTCGTGAGAAGTTACGAGCCGCTGATGCCTGAGCATGATGCTGGTCCCCGCAACTCCGCCCTTGTTGAAGAATTACGGGAATGCGAAGCGCAAAGCTTGCTTTCTTCAGGGCCTAGACAGTGATTGAGTCTTAAGATCCTGTTGATGTCTAAGCCCAAGCCGATGTTGCATGTACTACTTGTTAGTGAAACTCTGCCCGCGTCTTCCGAAGGCCTGGATGCTTGGCCAACGACGTGGCTTTGGCATCGCTTGCGGAGGAGGTGTCCGGGCTGTCCTTACGTTAGATCAGCGACATGCTCGAGCTTTCTGTGCAGTTGTGGCGGTTGCATCTTGTATCATAGGGCTCAAATTGCAGGGCCTCCAGCCCCAACTCTCCCTGCCTCCCTTGCCTCCCTTGCCTCCGTTTGCAAGTGTCAGCTTGTGGTCCTGCAACGACAAGTTCGTCCGAGGTGGTCTACTATGCCGTGCCCTCGTCGCAGGCCCTGGCGACGTACTGTTTACCTACCTCGGTGCAGCACGTTTCAGCAATCGCTTTGGGTTTCCAGCCACTGTTTCTTCGCATGTCCGATGAATTTCCCGACTTCGATGGCATCTTCCCATATTTGGCACTGCTTTTGACTGACCTCGCCCCACGTCATGAAGGGCTTTGACATCCCACCGTGGTTGTGCATGTGATTGGATTTGCTGAACCCGCAGATACTCGGCAATTGCACGGGTCTGCCATCCCCGGACTGCTCCTCAGGTGCCTGGCTTCGTGGGCCACGGGGATGGCTTTGGCTCGGCGACTTTGTGGCAAACCTTGCCGGAATGTCCGCAAGTTGGTTCCACTGGCGCCAAAACGTCGACATTTCCGGCTGTGAAATGAGTTTTGGAGCTTCTGCCACATGCGTTGGCACCAGGTCCGGGGCGAGCTCAACCGGAAAGGCCTCGAAATGATGCAGTTCTCAGGGTTGGGCGCGTGCAGTGTTGGGTAGTGGCGGTATCTAGTACTCGCGACCCCTGGCTTGCATCATGTTAGCTGCGAGAGGTGAGTCACCCTGGCTGGATTTGGTCTTGCAGAACAAGCACGACCAATCTGATCCTGAGAAGTCACGGAAAGAAATGCTGTTGAGCGCGTGGAAGGCTCCGTGTGGTCATGAGGATAGAACTTGCTGAAGGGGTGGTTCGTCTGCAACCAGGGACAGGCAGGTAGCTGCTGACCTTGGACTGACTCATCATGTTGTCAAGCTCACTTTCCGAGCTTGCCGCGGTAGTCTGCTCGCGACGGCACACACGCATCAGTAAATAAACCAGGATGCACCACGATGCACCCCGTATAGTCTTAGCCCGAGATGCGACTCGCGCAAGATCAGCTGATAAGCTGGCTCGAACCGGCCGGTGTCTTTAGAGGGCCAATGTGCTCTTGATCTCTCAGCTGCCTCCCTCCCTCCCTCCCTTGCGGCTTGACTAGGCTTCCCCCTTTCGTCTGATTTGCTGGGTCTCAGCTTCATCATATTCAGACGCTGGCATTGTCGGATATACGTTGGGTCCTGCATGCTCAGATTCAAAACTATTCTCACGTACGTAGCAGATCCACATCATGCGCGTGTGTTGCAGCTCGAAGCCCACACCTGGGCATCTTTCCTTGAGAAGCTGGCTTGCTTCCTTCATGGTCGTTCCACCTGGGCCCGGCCTTCCGGCGACATTCGTGGCCGCGATTGGTGTCTTCCGTGAGACTCTGAGGCCGTCGCCTCTCACGTCCGGAACAGCCTGTCTCGTTTCAAACGGTTTCTGACTTAAGACTCAGATCTTCTATTTTGCTGTGAGACCCAATGTTCAATGAAGGTCGAGGGATTGTCGGACTCTTGCAAATGATGCCGAAGAAGACTCTGTCTAGATTGACACTTATCCCAGCCAGTGCAGGCGCGTGCCACCATGGCTGCTGTTCTCCGGAGTCCGGCTCCCGGGAATATTCAAGCGGGAGCAGCGAGAGGTGGAAGCCATGGAGTCGGGATGGGTCGGCGGCCACATCTTTTTCAGAAGACGCGGGGCCACACCGGTTCATGCAGGGAACGAATCCCCGATCTCGGGGTTCGTGCAATTCAATATCCCGCCGTCGTCCGTCTGTCGCATCTCAATCCTCAAAACATCCGAGCCCCTTGTCTCTCAGGCGGATCAGTTCGTGAAGCCCGTCACGAACAACTTTGCATTCCCTGCTGTCACACTTCCATCCCGTGTGACAGTGCAGCAGGCCAACGCTTTGCAGCTCAGTTCATGTTTGCATAGCGGTGAGCGGACACGCGGCAGGACACCGTCGGTGGTGTCCCCGGAGAGTGGCACATCCCAGAGGCAGCACCAAAGAAAGGCCTAGCACCCTCGGTCCTGAGACGCTGACTGCAGGACGCAAACAGCCATGTGGATAACTTGCTTGTTTGGGCTCACGGTGGCGGCTTCATGTTTCTCGGACAATAAGGCACCGTTGAGTCGGAGAGATGTGGACCAAGCCGCCTGCGAGCTGAGGTTTTGCTCACCTGGGACCCATCGGCTTTTCCTGAGCCGTGTCACTTGGCTGTGAAAGGTTATTGTACAAAACGGAACATGTCTGTGATGAAACCAAGTGTTGCTGAGGTGGCAGAGCGGTCACAATGTGCGATCTTCTGCCCAAACTATCGGCGGCTCAGTCAAGACCGAGTGCACTCTAAACACGCCTCAGACACAAGCGAGCTGAGGAAACCTCCAAAGCATCCCTTTCCCGAGCCACTCTCGGACGTGTGGAAGAGCTACGAGGCGGGGGGCCTCTGATGCGCTGAAAAGTTTTTGAGCCGACGGCCCGACCCGGAGGTCCTCCGGAGCCGCAACACGCAGCAAGACGTCTACGTAGGAGGCGTTCCTTGCCTCCAACTATCTTTGACAAGCACAGAACAGCCGTCGGACGCATGCAAAGCCGAACTGCCATGGGCATTAGATGGCATGAGCCTCAGCCTACAAGGACAGTGCGGGTGGCAATCTCGCGCTGGAAGTCGCACGCCGAGCCTGCGCAGAACAGGCTTGACTTCTCGGATCTTCTCGGAGTCTTCGAGTTTTGATAGGAATGCTCAGAGTTTTTAGTCAGTTGGAACGTTGCTCTCGCAGCTCTCGTCGTCTGCACGAAGATCCAGCAGTAGGTGCTTTCTGCTTGCATTGCACGCGGGCTACTCCCCCAATGATTATACATGCAAGTGAAAGGTATCCACGCATCTGCAGAAGGTGGCAGGTGCGAGCCTGAGCCCACACATGGCTTAACGATGTGGCTTTTTGCGTGAAGCGCGTCCTTCGAGTCTCACCAAGGTTGATTTGCCTCGTAAGAGCACTAATCGATGCATGAGCCTTCTGGCCCACAAAGTCTGAACGTAGCACACCGGTAGGAGCAATTGATCTGAAGGCTCCCAGGCTTCCAAGGTGCAGACCCGTAGAGAAGGCTATGCGCCGGCCTTGGGCGTGTCGCGTGTCGCCTCCCCGAAAGGTGTCTTGCTACTCAGCCCTTGGGTCGACCTGGCGGACAACACGTCCGACTCATGGCCCCTGGGCCGAGAACTCGTGGCGGCTTGTCAGTGATTTGATGAAGCTGAGAATGGCCGACTGAGGTTCCAATATGAGGCGCCGGGGCTGAAAATCCGTGATCTGTTTACGCCTGCATCAGAGAGGTTTGACAAAGACTTGCTGTCCAGACCTCCAGCCGAGACCTGTGGGTTCAGTCGGTGAAGCTTTTTTGTGTCGATTGTACACCGTTCTTGATTCGGGTCGTTTAAGCAGCGACGATGATGATGCGTTGATTTGCAATAGTAAGATTGATTAGCGGTGTTCTGCTTAACATTGTTTTGGTTCGGGCCTGCTTGTTTGCCTTCTTCTGTTCTTCCTGGCTCAATTTGCTCGTCTCTGTGATTGATCTTCTTGCTTTCCGTGATGTTGTTCTGTTTGTTTACGTCGTCCTTGCTGGGTCAGGGTCTCTCTCAATCTCTCTCTGTGTCTCTGTCTCTGTCTCTGTCTCTGTCTCTCTCCTCTATCTCTCTCTCTCTCTCTCTCTCGCTCTCTCTCTGGCTTACATCAACATCCGTTTGTTGTTTTTCTTCGGGATGATCTGAAAGTGTGTTCGCAACTTGAAGCTTACGAACACTCTTCATAATCCTTCAAGAAGGCGAACTGCCGGGGCTCGATTCGAGTGGACATGCCTGGAGTTTCTGTACAAGTCCGGAGTTCCTGCTGGCAGGAGGTAGATTTCCTACCGCGGCAGCAAGCGCGTGCTGTCGCAAAGATTTATGCATCGACTTGGCCGCTGGAGGCACGCTGTGATGAGAACGAGCTTAGAAACTCGTGGGCTTCAGGTATTTCAACGTGCAGGGGAAGTACGGAAAGTGATTCATAGATTCCTCATTCCGTTTTTTGTCTGTAGATGTGCTTAGCATTGCTTAGGCAAGAGCTGGACTCAGCCGCTAGTTTCTGCCTGCTCTTACGTTCTTCACTGACCTGCCGTGCACGCGCTCCCGGAGGATCCAGCCATTTCGCCTGTGCGGCATGAGACGTGGCCCTCCAACTTTCCTCCTGCCTCCTGGCATCCCACATAGCTTCGATGGAGCAGCAAAATCCCGAGAGACGCGTCGCTAAAACTAAAGCCCTAAAGTCCACAACCCTTGCACGGTGGTGACGAGACAAACAGCAGTCACAACTTTGCAGGCAAGTGCTCAGTAACTTGGGCGGCAGTCGCCAATTCCTGCTCGTCCACTCAGTACTGTCAAAGCCGCACTGGGTTCATATTGAAAGTGACCACGGCGAAGAGCTACCGGTGCAGCTTCCCATAGCTGCCTTTGATTTGTCACAGGTTGTTCTTTTCTCCCTGCCCTTGTTAACACATGCCATCAGCAGAGGCAACAGTCTGAGTTGCGAATGCTTCGTGCCGACATGAACCCCCAAAGCTTGCCTGTACGGCATCTTCCAGGGCACGCCTGCCTGTCTCAGGTTCATTTGGAGTATGGTGGCTCTGAAGTATTCCGCGATCAAATCGAGAGGCTGGTCGACGCCTTCAGACAGAATCGCGTCGCAGCTTGGCTCCAGCTTTGACTGGGAGGGCCTTCCGAGGGTACTGTTGCTTGCTGACTTTAGCCGGCGTATGCGAACCTCTGAGGAACTGAGTATGCACCTGGAGGAGGGCCAAATCCATTGTTATCCATTGCTCGACTTCTTGGCACCTCAGGCCAGGAAAGCTGGCTCCAAGATGCTTCAAGACTTGTCGCCGCTCTGACTCCAGGTTCCAGAGATGTCAGAAGGCTTCCTATCAAGGACGGCAAGCTTCTTAAACAGAAGGACGTTCGAGAAGCGTGCAAAACACATTTCCATTTTAACCCTATGCTATCGATTTGGGTTTGTGCAGAGACTGAATCGGAGTAAACCAGCATACCACGCGGCACACATACAGTAGGAAATGTGCCAGCGCATGAAGATGCAGCCACATTCTCGAATGACGTTTGTATGCTACAATTTCACTACACTGGCATGCGGTGTTAGCTTTTCGGATCTACAGATAATACGAGATCCCAATATACATTAACAATCCCTCCAGGAGTTTTGCCGGGGGCGAGATTATGATAGGATTACCCTGTTATATAATATTTTTCCCAGTAGGTGAGAGCGCGAGACAGATCTATAAACGCGCTTTTGGCGGTCTGGGGAAACGAGTGAGATTTGGGCGGCAGATTGCCGGCTTCAAGATTTCAAGAACGCGATCTAAGACAACGTCCCCGTATTCAAGAACACTTTCAAAAAATCTCACTATTGATATTAACTTGTGGCATCGGCCCCCTCTCGGCTTGAACACCCTGTTCTTTATGGGCTCCTTATTTCGCGGGCTCCTTGCGTTTTAAAGAATCTTATTCTCGGGTTTTCGGTCCTTCAAGCGCTCGCTACCGCGGGCTTCTTATTTTGCGCGCGGCTTCTAATCTCTGGCGAGCGATTTATTCTTGATTCTTATTTTTTCGAATAGATTTATTATTAAATTTTAAATTCTCTAATTATTTATTTTCGAACGGGTAATTCATGATATATTCTCTATTCTCTTTCTTTCTCGAGGAATTGGCTCTTTTTTCTTGATTTCTCTATTTGATTCAATCTTAGATATATATCTTATATCTGGAAGTTTCGAGATT